GCAAATGGTAAATCACACATTGACCATTCAAATTGTTTCCCTTCCTCTATCCTGAAGGTAACTATGCTATTTCAGGTTACAGAAGGTTTTGCAGTATAGTCAAACCTACAAGTAAACCTTCTGTAACCTGAAATAACCAGAATGTAACTATGCTGGCCTGTGGGTCTCCCCATGGGTCTAGAAATTTGCTGGCAGGGGAACAATGCCAGCATTTATTGTTGCTCCAATGCTGCTAGATGATTGTGATGCTTTCTTCTGATCAACTTCATACTTGATGCTGCTTCTTGTGACCAATTTTTTTTCACAGTTCAAGTAGTTCACTGCACTGCTTCCCTTAAGTTTTGCATACTTGCCTATTTTCTTGCTTTACAAACTGAACTTGCCACTCTCTAAGTACTTGGAAATATCACCACCCAGATTAAACCTTCTCCATCAGACATATTAGACAGAGTTATTCTTAAAGGCTTTCTATGCTATTTGAGCATAGACTTTGACCTATGCAATTTGACCTCTCCTTTCTGAGCCTCTGTGGGTTACAAATGAAATGGAAAACTTATCAGACCTCTACTAGGTTTTCTAGTTCAAATATTTTTTTTAAATTTCCTTCAAGTGATTTTTCTTAAGTCCTTGCAGCAAGTTCGTCTCGGTTAAACTTGCTCGAAACTGTCTTGGTTTCTCCTACTTTCTAAGTGAATCTGATCCACAATTGTGTACCTGGTCACCTCTGATCCATCATATTTTTCCAAAATGTGTTTCCTATGCACTTTGTTTCTTCAACAAAGACTGTTTCGTCTACCCCCATATCCATGTCAAGCCATATGGACATATACTTGTGTCCACATATTCCAGCTCCGCTTTTACTTTATCTTTTATTTTGCTCCACTTTATTATACCATATTGTAGCACTTCCTGCACTATTCTGATGCACACAGAAATTTCCCAAAATCATAGCTAAAGGAAACCCTTTCACCCACATATGCCTTCTGTAGGTTTGTTTTAGGCAGCAATGTGTATTTTCATTTATGATGAAGGCTGAACTTTTACTTCATAAAAGTTGCAGGAAACCATTAAGCTTGGCCTCAAATAAAAGAAGGGGAGGAACTGCACCTGCTAATGCTAATGAGATTTAATTCAAGTCACAATAGTTTTGCCTTTCAAACCTGTACTTCAAGTTTAACATTTCCACTGTACTAGATATCATTATCAATCAGTAACTGTACCACAGAAAAGTGAACTTTTGGGAAGCTTTGTAAAGGATATCTGTGCCCTGTACATAGGAAAGTAAGTGGAAAAGGAGACTGTAACTGTGTCCAGAAAATGGCTTTGGGTTTGGAAAGGTGACAATCTGGCAGTACCTCTCTATAACTCCCTCCTTGGAGCCTGGGTAGAGCATGGGGGCAAGTGCACAGGCTAGATCAGGCCCCAGTGGCCCTGTGCTGTCTCCACCCCGGCCTGGCAGGGATCTGGGTATAGGGCCCCACACCATACCTTAGCCAATCTACCAGCCAGAGCCACAGCCCACAAGTGTTCCACAGGTTGGATGACACGGCACTGGTGGCCAGATCTGCTCGCAGGCCTGGGGCTGAGCACCCCTGCTATATGAGGGTTGGGCAGAAGGGACCGTGGCACCTTTAAAAACTAATTTGTTCAGAAAGGCATAAGCTTTTGTAAGTGACAGCCTGTCTTGTCAGTGCTCTATGAGGGAGGACTAGCTCATGCCTTTAACCTAGCAACCCTTAACATGAAAGAAAGAGCTGCTTTGTTGCACCGGATTCCATATTTAGCATCATTTTCAGTCGGCAGATGGCACTCATATTTCCATAAGACAACCATGAAGGAAACAAGGAGCGCTTCCAGATGACACCTTGAATTTGCACACTGAAGACCAGAGAAAGGGTAGAGGGTGGGCATGCTGTATGGCTTCCCTTGAGCAGGCCTGCCAGAGACTTTGCTTAGAAAGAAAAATATCCACGTGTATTTCAAAAACCTCTGGATCCTCTAACACCTACTACACCTCACAATGTTAGAGGCAGGGGGCTGGTGCCTCAGTGAATTCAAGCCAGGCACCGTGCAAAATATTATCGCAAAATAAAACCGTCCAGCTAGCGACCCCCGAGCGGCCAACCTGCAGCAGCTCCACAGCTACTTTCTCTTCAGCTTTCCTTGAAAGGAGCGGCAGGACGCTGACCACCCCCGGGGCAGGCGCGGGTGACGTCACACACGCCCAGCTCTCCCCGGAAGCGGATGGCTGGGCTGTGGGATGACGTCAGTGCGCAATCCTAACGCGGCCCCGGCCAACCCCGCGGGGAAAGGCGGGGACCTCTCCCGCCGCCCGGGCCCTCCCCCACTGGCAGCCCGCTCCCTACCTGCCGCTGGCGCAGCGCCTGCTGGTGGAAGGGGGAGAAGCTCCGCCCTGGGCCTCGCCGGGGATTGGGCGGCTGCGCACGTCACCCCGGCGGCTTGTTAAGGGGAACCAGCCACGCCGAGGCGGGGGGCTGCGAATAACAGCTCCGCCAGCACTGTGACCGCCCCGCCTGGGCCCAGGAAGTGACGCCCCCCGCAGGGACCCGCCTCCTTTCCGCGCTCGCTGTCCCAGGCCGGGCGGGAGTACTAGGGAGCCGCTCCAGTCCTGCCCTGTGCTCTGGGGCCCTGCAGCCGGAACCCACGGTCATTACCGGCCCCGTGGGGGGAGGGGCCTGAACGGAACTGAGCCCCGCCCCCCACCTGGCTTCACGTCACGTACGCGGTGACGTACCACCCGGAGGGCGCTGGACGTGGCTGGGGGCAGGGGTGGGGCTTGGCTCCGGGTCCGGGTCCGGGTCCGCCCGGCGGCTCAAGCCGCTGACCCCGCGCGCCCTGGGGCTGGGGCCAGAGCACGGCATCGTCTGGTCCGGGCCCGCCCAGGGATGGGCCTGATCTTCGCCAAGCTGTGGAGCTTCTTCTGCAACCAGGGTGAGCGCGGGGGTTCGCGGCCGCGCTTGCCCGGCGGCTCTTGTCCCGCCCGCCGTGTAGCTCAGGGACGGGGGAGGTGCTGAGGCCGGGTCGGGCCGGGCCAAGTAGCCTCCCTTGCGGCCCCGCGGTGGAGCCCAGGAGCCGCCGCCCGCTGGGCCGGGGCAGCTCGGTCTCCCCCGCGTCTCCGGGCGCGGGTCCCGCTGGGCAGGTCCGCGGGACTCCGCTGGCGGCTCCTTGGCGGGCCGGGCCCACGGGCGCGACCCTGGTGCGGGTCCGCCCCTCTCCCTGGTGCTCGCCTATTGCCCACCTCAAGTGGTCCGGGTCACAACAGCTTCCGTTCTCCTCCAGAGCCTCCTGCTGAGGGGAGGGCTGCATTTCTCCCTGCACTGGCTTTGTTAGGAAATACCAGAGCCCCCCCTGGGCCTCCTGGCCAGCCTCCATCCCAGCTCTGGCCAAGCTGGTCATCTGCAAGGCCAGGGAGGAGGCTGTGGCCGGGAAGAACCTGAGCAAGGTTTGGGCTGCCTTCCTCTCGCTTCCCCACTTATGGGTCCAAGCAGCCTCTCTGGTCTGGTCACATCCACAGGCTCCCTGCACTTGGGGGGCAGTGGGCTCTGGGCAGTGTGCTTTGCTCTGTCCCTTGTTACTAACCTATGACCTCACTCTCCTTCCTGTTTTCTCTTTATTTGTTCCCCCAGAATCAGTTGACATGTCCCCAGTGGCCTCCCTTATGAAGGGAGGCTCACAGTATTTTGTGATGGGCCAAAGCCCACAATTAGGGCCCTACCAAATTCACAGCTGAAGTGGGGTGCGTTGTGGCTCCTTTAGTCTTGCAGGTTCCCCTGTATGTCCCTCTGCCACTGATTACTGGAGGGGCTGTATTTGCTGCTCTCTTCTGACTGTCAGGGAAGTGAAAACCATGGTTTTAAACGTGGTGACTTTTTTTTGCCTCCCTGCTGTTCAGCAGCAAGCAAGCAGCAGGCCCGTTGGCCAGTCAGTGGTAGGAGGCAAAAATGGCGCCATATTTAAAACCACAGTTTTTGCCTCCCTAACCATCAGGGGCAAGCCGCAAGTAAAGCCCCTCCACCAGTCATCAGCGGAGAGATGCATAGGAGGAGCTGCAGTGCACCCCGCTTCTGCCATTCATCGGGCCCTACTCATGTTCTTTCAGCACATCAAATAAGCCAGTGTCATGCAGAAGCAGTGAGTGGATGCTGGAAGGGAGAATGAGCCAGGGTTTTTTCCGCTATTCCTCTCTCACTTGCAGCCTCCAGCATTTACGGTCTTCTAGGAAGTTCTGATTCCAGAGGCTGTATCCCTAACTCCTGTGCTCAATAGCTACAGGTGCTACTGTAACTAGTCAATAGGTAGTGGTGTCCCTTTCGTCCAAGAACTTGTCTAGTCCCTTTATTTGATTCTACCAAAACTGTTAGCTTCTACAACATCTGGTGGCAATGAGTTCCATGCTTTAGTAACAGACTGTGAAAAATAACTTCCTTTTTAAATTCTTTTTCTAAAGCTTACCAAGCCCTGTTTGTTTTGACCTGTGCTGTGCTTATCACTACCCACCTGCAGCACTAGGATCTTTGAGGAGAGTGCCACTGGTTTCTCAGTGTTTCATGGGAACAGAGAACCCTTTTAGGGGTTGGTTGTTGTAAGGCGACTTCCTTCCTTTAACAGCCCCATTGGCAGAAGTTCATTTTGGCCAGCTCTTGCATGTGGCTTTGACCCAACATAGCTTCAGTTTTGAGCATTGATAGAAGCGGTCAGATCCATAATGGAGCTCTTCTTGAATGTGGCCTGTCTGGTCTTGATACAGGGTGGTCATTCACAGAGATGCTGAAATGCAAGCATAGTGGACGTGGGGCATAAAGGAAGCATGCCAGACAGCTTTGGAAGATATGCAAATACAGCGACTGTCCTCCTATTTCCTGTAGCATGGATGGCTGTCGTACCATTTTGTAGATGTGGACCAGTTGCTCCAGAACTTCCTCATGAAGAACCTGACCTGTGGAAGGATCTTTTCCTTAACCCCCTTGGACTTGATAATGCATAACTGGGAGAGCCTGTCATAGTATGAAGGATATTATAAGCAAACACCTACAGTAGGAGCAAGGCATTTCATATAGTCATGAAGTCCCCAGGCAGTATACAAAGCTGCAGCAAACAGCTGTGAGAGTCTGTTGTGGTGCTCTGGTCTTTTGCTGCGGGGTGTTGTTTCTCCAGTCAGCTGTATGGGACCCTGATGGGCTCCAACTTAGTGCAGTGCCCTTTGAAGTAATAAAAGCAGTAAATTGCTAAGCAGCTCCTTAATTCTGAAGCAAGCTGGTGGTTGACCACCCAAACATGAATGATTTAGATTTTACTTCTACAGGAAAGCGTCCTGAATACGTTTTGTTTTATTTGTGCTTTAGTTTTCCATATTGTGCCTGTTGTCCTCCAAATTGTACTTGTGCACTTCAAATCTGATACATGGTAATATGATGCATTCTGCTTTCTTTTGCTAACTACAGAAAAACAAGGGATTACTCGCTTTAAATTACTTCTGTGATGGATGTGAGCACAAATAGTATCCCTGATTTTCCTTGCCTCTTTGTTAAGGAGTCCACTCATTTCTAGTTTTATAGAGACTGCAAGAGACTACAGTTATATGTACAGTATTTGGAATATTGTCATGCAAACAGTTGTGGAAGCAGTACTGCCTGGCCTTTGATGTTCCATATGAACATTTTACTTTCATGCTGCCAGTGTAGGCTGCCCTTTGCAACCTGGCCCCAGCCACTGGCTTTAGGCCTCCATTCCCTGGCCTAGCAAGTTACCTGCACTTAACCTCACTGGAGCAAGCGTAAGTACAGATGTAGCAGAGGGGATGGATGCTCCATACCATCGATTTCTCTCGAGGCCAAATTGGACTTCTTTGCAGTCTGGATCCAGCCAATAGACCGTAGGTTGCCGACCCCTGTCTTGGAGTGTAATTGAATGTACACAGTTTTGTGTTGTCTGGACATGACTAATAAGCCATGACAGGAGAGGAGTGGAAAGATCTGCCAAAATCACTGAGTGCCCATACATTACTGATAAACATAAAATTTATTATGGAACCAAGGTCTTTTCCCAAGAGAATGCTGTTTTTGCTACAGCAGAGCCATGCGAACTCTTGCTTGTGCTTGCTTTGAGGCGTCTTTGAACAGATCTCTCCTTTCTTTACAGTGGCCCAACTTCAATGTGGAGGATGGATATTGATCCACAGCTGGGGCCAGCCTCTAGCGTGGTGGTTAGAGCATTCTCTGGGGAACTGAGAACTGTAAGCTTAAACTTTCCCAGTCTATAAGCCAGGAATGTTGCTTAGTAAATACTCTGATCACTAGAGCACTATATAAAGAAGTGATATCAAACTGCCTAGATCTGGATTGCAGGACCTCTTCTTGGGCCAAGTCTGTGGGGCCAGCAGGAACTGCAGTCGGGCTAGGGCAGTGGTTGTCAAACTCTTTTCATTTGTGGATCCCTAAAAAATGTCAAATGGAGGTGTGGACACCTTTGAATTGTAAGTGTGGTTATTGGCATACTTTTGATTGATCATAGTCATCTTTTGCAGACCCCTTAGATGTAGTCTGCAGCCCCCCAGGGGTCTGCAGACCATGGGCTGAAAACCACCAGCCTAGGGTCAGGCTGCAGGGTGAGTCTGGGACTGGACAACAGTGGTTCTGTCTACTGCAGGTCCAGAAACCCTGAATTCTGCAACAGGGCACACTGTACACAACTTCTGGTAGCCACCAAACTACAGGTGGGCCAGAAGGAATGGCTCAGCAGGCTGGATGCTTGACACCCCTGATATACCTGAGTACTATGTCTTTTTGTGGGTGCTATTTGTATTGAGCTTAATGGTTCCAATTTTTGTGAGGTATGTTCAGAGCATACTTATAAGTAGGGACTTTGATAGAACAGGGGATACCTAATTTGTGAATCACAAACATGCTGAGGCAGGCATCTAAATGCTCAGCTCTGAAGCCAAGCACAGTAGCTGCCCTTTGGCATTTAAGTAGCATTATTGGTGGGAAACCTGGGTACTTGCAGACTCTTAGTAATCTAAATAGCTAGGTAGAGTTGCTAACTTTCTTTAGATGCCTGGAGGAGTGTTTGAAAATTACTCATTTGGACTTGGCATGTAAATAAATGCTTTGTTGATCATGTCCTTTAGGAAGTTGGATGAGATGTTGCCTTTTCAACTAACCTGACTAACTGACTACAAGTCCTGCTGCAAAACAAACTTATCCAATGTTTACCAATAATAGAGAAATATCTGCAAGGATATTGTTAATAGGGCACTGAAGTAAATGCTGTCTTATAGCTAGAGACAACCGTAGCAGGGTGTGGGGCCCGGGGCAAGTCAGTCTGTGCGGGGCCTGGATGCAGTGGTGGGGGAAGCGGGGTGGCAGCGGTGAGCAGCCAGATGCAAAGCCAACCTGGGCCTGCAGGGCCCAGGACAGTTGCCCCAGTTCGCCCCTTGCCAAGCACAGCCCTGCTTATAGCCATTGGAGTTATGCCCCCCCTCCCCCCCCA